TTTTAATTTGAAGCAAATGAATATATTTTATGTAGTTTTGCTGTAATATTAATATCTACTTTTTGGTATTTGTATGCATTGAATTAATCTTATTGGACGGCTAGTTATTTATATGTTTTTGAATTGAGCTACGTTAATTTGTAAAAGTTACGAATGAAATGTCATTAGTTGTATTTATATAATGTTGTTGTAAATATTAAAAAATTTAATTATGGTACGGAACCGAACCGACCCAAACCGAACCGAACGAAACCGAACCCGAACGGTTCCATAATTATATTTGGATCCGACGGGTCCATTTATTAAATGCCCGAAAGTTTTGGGTCGGTTCGGGTCTCTTCAGAACCGAACCGAACCGACTCACTGACAGCCCTAATAACATCCATTGCATGAAATTCCTTTTTCTATATATATAATAATATGCACACATGGGAGTGAATAACCAACTATGTATTTATAGAGAATTGTAGTCGACCTCTGGCTTGGAAATTAATAACTTGTGTTCTCAAACTGTTTACTCAGAATCTTTGTAAATTCTGCACTTATCTATAGGTTTTCGTCGATTTCCATTGCCTGCTTTGTATGTTGGTGTGTTTTTTAGGATTTGCTGTACGCTCTAGACTAACTCCAGGTTTCCTTGGGTAGTTGGGTTCTAATTGGTTGGGAGTACTGTCTTACTTGTGACACGCCATTACATATTCCTAGATTCAAGGTGGTCCTCACCTTTTGTGCATTGAGCATGCTTCCGTTAGGTCGACTCTCCAAGATCAAGATTGGGAGTAGGATCAAGCTCTTATATATTGATGTTTCTGGTTTTGCTTCAGGTCAACTCAGTAATTATTGGACACCTGTAGTCAAACCCGAGCTAGTTGTCTCATTAACAACTTAAAAATTTGCATCTATAAAAAATTCATATAATCAATCAAATCATTCGACTTTTAACCATATTCACTTTTCAAATTGTTGACATGGCCGATCATGTCAGGTTTAGGAGCAACTTTCAAAGTTGAATATCATCTATATTTTAAGTAGAAAGTATTGTTGGTTGAGGATGTCTGAGAAATAATCCTGACCATCATTTTCCTAACATTAGAAAAATATTGAATAAGACCCCTTACATTCTTGTTCCTTGTTTCTTGGTCACTTCTATTACAATCTTGTCATAATGATTGCAATTAATGTTCTCACATATGGTCTAATTAAGAATATATTTAATTATGAAACTTTTTGATATCTCTTGCCTTTTGGTACTAATTTCACCTTGTTAGGATTATTACCTTTGTTTATATTATCTATATGTCAAATGATGTTGCTGTAGGTTATTTTAGCAATGAAGAGGCTACGGCATCAACCCTAGATTCAGAGGGGTGGTTGAGAACTGGAGATCTGTGCTATGTTGACGAGGACGGCTTCATTTTTGTGGTTGATCGGTTGAAGGAGCTGATCAAGTATAAGGGATACCAGGTGAATATGTCATTGGTTTACATAGTCTTATCTGAGATCAACTACATGAATCATTTGAACTATTCTATTGTGTTCATTGGTAGTTGTACTTGGAGTTCTTCGGTCTTTTCTTAAATGGCACTTAATTCTTTGATAATAACACAATATGATACTGGACGTTAATCCAATAATGTTCCTAAAATTCCTTTTCAAGAATTTCTTGTGGACTGAATAAAAATTCCAACTAACAAATTATATGCTTAACTTCTTAGGTTCCTCCGGCAGAATTAGAGGCTTTGTTACTCACTCACCCGGAAATTGCTGATGCAGCTGTTATACCGTAAGTAACCTCAAGTTCCAGTTTCATTTTCAGAAAGAAGATATATTTTATGGTATTAGACTTTTATTCAGTGAAAACGTATTCAATTTGAGCCTTTTGTGATAATCTGAAGAAAGTTGGCCTTGTGAATGCTATAATTTAGGTTCCCGGATGAGAAAGTTGGACAATTTCCCATGGCATATGTGGTGCGAAAAACAGGCAGTAGTATATCGGAGAGTGCAGTCATGGATTTTATTGCTAAACAGGTTGCGCCTTACAAGAGGATTCGACAAGTGGCATTCACGGCTGCCGTTCCCAAAAATCCCTCAGGCAAGATTCTTAGGAAGGATCTAATAAAGCTTGCTGTATCTAAACTGTGAAGTATTAGGTTTTGCATTAGCAAGTTATACTCGTTATGTTCCAAAAGCCTTGAAAGTCTAATGGTGTGCAAGTATGTCTTGAATTGAAAGTCTAATGGTGTGCAAGTATGTCTTGAATTATATATGTAAAACCACGTGCCTTTTAAACTTTTTACTTAAATGTATATCATTGAACCAAACTTCTATTAACCTTAGATTGGGAAGTTTTTCAAATTCTGATTCTCACGTAAATGGAATACTTTCTAGCATTAAATCTACATACAACCCTCGACAAAACTGGGTTTCTGATATGACCTTCATTTTGTGCCTGAAATGCTGGGATTATGAAGTTTGAGGTAAAAACCTATCTGCACTTCGCATTGGATAAAAATATCTTTCTACTTTCCTCGCTAAACAGGGCATATTTGGTATATAATACTAGACATAACTAAAGAGTATAGAGGACAAGAGTCTAGCTTTATTTTCTTCTTTGAAACTCTCTAATGTAATGGAATCGGCCTTACCAAACACACCAAGAAGGTACTCCACTAATTCTTTCTCACAAGGAACTCTTAGGGGCCCGTGAATTGGCAATCCATACTCCTCTTCAGCCATCTCCAACAGCACTCTGAATATAGGATGATTCAGATAGCACAGAGGAACAACAAACCTTTTATTATCTTTTGAGTAGACCACAAACTGACCATTTTTCCTTTTCCTCCATCTCTGTATGATCTTGCTTAGTTTCTTAGAACTACGATTCATGGGATGAAGTGCCTGCCGCTATTTGAATTTCTGCTGCAAAATTTACGAGAGAATATATGATTTGCTGGCTTGATGGCTTAATATCTTTATGTTTGATAAATTTTCCGCTGGTAGGGTAGTTAGAAGATACAAAAGTTAAGATGATAAAGCTGAAGATTAGTTATGTGTGGAGGGAAATAAGTCTCTTGTGACTGAGTTTTAGACCCTTCTGCTGCATGTTGATAAAAAGGAAGTTGTGACTTAATGCATGGACCAAAGTATACTCTAGTTTTGTCTTGAGAACATTTAGTTTGTAGCTAGAGACATATAGAACAGTCCAAGAATTGTGGGATAACATATGGGCTAATTTTTGGATTTAGGGGTTCATTTTTTGTGGGCAGAGACATCATCCAAGGTGAGATGGGATACATGGAACAGGACATCTCTTCCGCATAATACTATCCCTTCGATCTGCTTTCTCCGACTATCATATATCTAACATGCTTCTAAACTCTCGAAATTTATGCAATCTCTCTCAAAAAAGTATTTCATTCCAGTCTGCATCTTTAAACACTATGTTGATTGCACCTAGCCGCCTAACTATTCTAGTAAAGATTACACGGAGATACTTTTGCCTTATTATATAATAGCTCATGGGATATTGTCATTTTTGTTAACTTTGTGGTATGTGTGTTTTGTAAAAGAATTTGTATTGTGGAATCAGAATCAAACTAAAGCGAGCTGTAACTGATCAATTATGATTAGGTTCAGTTCTACTGTTATGCATGGAACCCAACGGTAATGTGTATTATAATATTTTTGTTTAATTGGTTCGATCAAGAACTGAATGTCAAAAACCAGATCATGCCTACTTTTAAGGAAAAAGCCAGAAGTACAGAAAAATATTGACAGAATTCATACCAATGCTGACGTGGTCTGCGCATGATTGACCTGTTTGTTTTTTTTTTTGCTCTCCATCTTCCAATGATTTCACATCATGTGTCATCTGTCAAAATTTCTTGTACTTATAACATGATTGTACTTTTAAAGATCCATCAAAAACGTTAACATGTGAAAATGCTTCTTGATTTAAAAGTTGAGGATGATTTTACAAAAGGGATTGAAGGTCAGAGACTGTGCAAACAGACATCATATTTTAGGAATGGGCCTGGGACAACGAGCCAGTAGCAAAATTGTAGCCCACGTTTATAACTAAGACTCTCCTTTTAAGGTTTGGTTCAAATATGAGGTCCAATTTCTTGGGCAATTTATATCAGTAGAAAATTACGTGAATTCATGTTTTTAAATTTAAATTTTATTAATTAGAAATTAACTCTTATCTTTTAAAATATCAAGTGGTCACATGAATGTAATTAACATATCAAATATGGATTATGTCATAATCAAACATCATACTAAGTCAAAATTATACAAGTTATAGGTCACAATCATTTATCATAACAAATCACGATCACGTACCATTTAATTTTTTAAATTATTTTACAAGTTTGTTAATTTTAAAATTGTATTTTTAAACTTTTCTTATATTCGTATTAGTGGGCCCCGTTGCCTAATAATGACGCATTTTAAGGTAAAAACGTGAAGGGTAAGGAAGAGTAGTCGACATTTATGGTTCATATTGGTATAGGTAAAGATTGATATATTAGAGATTAGATTAAGATTGATAAGGGATTGATGGATTCTCCCACAGTCCACAAAGAGATTACAGTTGTATTATTTCAATAATGACATCTTAAACATATAATTAATATTGTGACATGGAAAATGAATACACGAACGACAATTTATCAATCGTATCAAAATCACTCTCAAAAATCAAAGATCTTTAGAATCACTTTCGTTGCATAACGCGTCACTCCCTAGGAAATGAACATTCTACCATTCTCGTTCATAATCTATGCTTTCTAAAGATTGTTTACTTAAGTATCGAATGATTACTATTAGCACTCTGTGCTCCGTTGTTTTATTCGAGTTAAAAATTAAAAGTACGCAAAATGCTTAAAGACAAAGACTCGAGACATCATGATTATCTATACTCTTGAATCGATTTGTAACTTTATCCTAAATTATAGAAATCTTAACCAATACTAAACATTTTTTCTTTTTTCTCAATGTAATTATTTATTTTTTCCCTTTGTTCTAAGACTCGGTCGAAATTGGAATCAAAAACTGAAAGGGAACACAACTCTATCGATAATAAAAATGAACAATAAGACGAGAGAGCAAGCAGTACAACGTCAAACCGTCCACTTGTCCAATGGGTGGGTCCCAATCCGATAAACCAACAAGGATCCATGAATGGAGATCGGTGCCCCCACATGAAAGACAGTACGTTAAAGTTGCTCTTCATCCAATTTCTCGAAAATCTCGTGAGATCTAAGCCTTCAGAATCTTGAGACGTCTCTCTATCTCGCAGTTCTGTCATCGCCTTCACTGATTGATTAAATCAAGGCCGACTTTCTGGGACCCATAAAGACATGTCTTCACGTTCTCACCTAACGTGGCGGATATTTATTGGTCGGCATGACAGAGGGTGAGTCTCTCCACGTCTCTACTTTCTTCTTTTATTGCTTTTGGGCTCTTCTTCCTTGCGCAATCATTTCCCTTTTTCTTTGTTTGATTATTTGAATTTTGTATAGTAATATTTTTAATTTCATTTACGTCGATTCAATAGTTCATGGTGGAACGAGTCGAGTCACATTTCGATTAAGTGAGTCACTTCTCAACCTAACAATAGACAAATAACCTTATTTAACATCCTAATTAAAGTTGTCAAGATTGAAAAACACAAGTTTTATAATAATGATCGAGTATGTTAATTAACATTATCAAAATGACGTGTAAAATTCATAAAGTAAGCAAGTTGGAATAATTTGTATTTTTTAAAGAAAAATCTAACCATGATAAGTGACCCACTTGGATGTCGGCTACAAAATGGAGTAGTTAATTTTAGGCTTTTGGACTATTTTGATAAGAATAAGGAAAAATTGAAGCTCCGGTTCCTAACATTTATAATTTTTGCAGATTTTATTCTAATCTTTAATTTGTACCAACGAATGTCCATAAGATTTCATAAATATGCAGTAGAGGTCCAAATGGATAGAAACCATCCACTTGACCATTAGTTAACCAAAAAATTGACCACTACAATTTTGACTAATTTTAAACGGGCGAAATGATAATTTTACTTTTTTTTTACATAAATTTAAATAAAATAAATAAATAAAAGAAATTTACCCCAACCACCCCCACCCCACCACCCCACCCTTATAAAAATTAGATAGGCCAATGGTCGGCACCTTTTTTCCAACTCCCACCCACACCTAATAGAAATCGAAGAAACAGGAACCTCATTTTGTGTGTGGAATTGGATGGAATTTGAAGCCAAAATTGGAGCAATTTGTGTCACAACTGGATCAATTGAAGGTATACCTATCATCGTTCAGTGTTGCTGAGGGATTGTGTGTTGCCAATTTGGTGAAAAAATAGCTCCAAATTCGTTAATTGAAGGACTGTCTCATTTTGCTCCCGAAGTAGACCTGTATCAATCGAAGCTGTTTTGGATGATGTCTCACTGTGAATTGGAGCACATAGGTGAGGTGAACCGACTGGTAGTGGTGCATGACCGTGGTTTTCACCGAACTTGTCAAGTTTTGTTTTTGGACCGCGCGACTCCGGTGATTTTAATGGCTGATTTCAATCTCCGTGTGATATTGTTTGTCCAATTAACTGTGCGAGATGTGCTTCTGGAATGAGGCCGCTGGTTAGGGGATAAAATTCTAGTGGATTGGGTGGCAAGTGGTGGCGGGTGTTTTTTCTGGTTTCAGATTGGGTAGCTGGCAGCGGGTGGTGTTTTTTCTAGCTTGGGTTGGGGTGGGGTGGAAGATGAGGATTTTTTTTTTATTTTTTATTTTGTATTTTCTAATTTAATTTTTAACTTATTTTATGGATAATATGTAAATTTACTATTTTTTCCTTTTAAAATTAATTAAAATTATGATCAATGTCAATTTTTTGGTCGACTAACGGTTAAGTTGATGGTTTCCATCCATTTGGACCTCTGCAACATATTTATAAAAAGTTAGTGACCTTCATTGGCAAATTGAAGGTTTGAATAAAGTCTGCAAAAATTGAAAATATTAGGACCATTGCTACAATTTTTCCTAAAAATATGTTTGTTTGCTAGAAAATATATGATAAGAGAGAATGGTAGAAAATGTGTTGGCATGATACATCTTGACGAAAAAAATGACTGTGTTTTAAGCAATATTACCATGTGACATCATGTCAAATATTATGTCAATTATTATTCTTGTATAGCATGATTGATTTTTATAGAAAATGTGTTGTCATGATACATCTTGATGAAAAAAATCACTGTGTTTTAAACAATATTACCATGTGACATCATGTCAAATATTATGTCAATTATTATACTTGTGTAGCATGATTGATTTTTATAATCAATTAGCGTCCCTTCCGCGTTGTGATTGCTATAAAAACCCCGCTACTTTACACTCTTAAAGCATTATTACATAGAGTTTCTTCATTCGAATACCATACATATTGCAGCTTAGTATTTTTCAGTTTCTTGATTCATCGGTGTCCTTTAAACTTATTATATACTCTGTGATTATTTCTTGTTGAATTAATCAAATTATGGCCGACGAAGTTCAATACCACCACCACCAAAACATCGAGAAGAAGAGCGATGAGCCATGCGATCACGGAGTCGATGTCCCCGTCAAGGTTGAGGAGTATGCGGCGGCGGCGCCTGTGGAGGCATCCGACCGTGGTCTGTTTAATCTCATGGGGAAGAAAGAGGAAGAGAAGAAGTGTGAGGAGGAAGTGATCGCCACTCAGTTTGAAGAGAAAGTGCAGGTCTCTGAACCAGAGTGCAAGAAAGAGGAAAAGGAAGAAGAGAAAAAGCATGAAAGCTTACTCGAAAAGCTCCAACGATCCAACAGCTCTAGCAGCTCTGTAAGTTGCTCATAATTTTTATTCTTAATTATGTGCATGCATATAAATTCTATGTTCATATGTTTTATTGGGATGTTAATATTTTTAATTTATTGATTTTTTGTGTAGTCGAGTGATGAGGAAGAAGTGGAAGAAGGAGGAGAGAAGAAGAAGAAGAAAAAGAAAAAGAAGGGTTTGAAGGAGAAGATATCTGGTGATGACAAGGAAGTAGAGAAAAGTGAGAAGTACGAGTCTGTACCAGTAGAGAAATGTGATGATATACCAGTTCATGAAGAATCTGAGGAGAAGAAGGGCTTCCTAAGCAAGATCAAGGAGAAACTTCCCGGCGGCCATAAGGAGGAGGGAGAGTTGGAGGTGCCTCCACCACCACCTCCGGCTGCCGTTGAGTGCGCCACCCCTGAAGGCGAGGTCAAGGAGAAGAAGGGTTTCTTGGATAAGATCAAAGAGAAGATCCCTGGGTACCACTCCAAGACTGAGGAAGAAAAGGAGAAAGAAAAAGAAAAGGAGTCTGCTTGCCATTAAGGAATTATTCAATGGTGTGGGTCTGTTGGGGCGTGTATCTGAGTGGTGTGTCATCGTTTGGCTGGTTTACTTTGTTTATGATTCTCGTATATAACTATGCTTGTATAAATCAAAAGTTTGTATAATTGGGGTTTGTATTATGGAAGTGATCATTGTGTCGATACAGAATCGTTTTATGAGTGGATTGATTACTTCAGTTTGTAATTTAATTTTGTGAGATCTTTATGCAAAAATTTCGAATTTTCTTTTATATATTTTTTCAATTCAATGCTAATCAAGTTTCCCTATACATCCATTCGACCAAACAGAAGAATGTTAATTTACTCAAATCCTTAAAAGCATAAATTGTGTGTTTATATGCTCACTTTTCTGCAGGTTGATATTTTCACAAAAGGTAATTAGCACATAACATTCCCACATTTTATTGTTATTATGAAAAACGTCTATACCTTTCAATTTTTTTAGCATTTCTACCTTTATTTTCACATTTCATTGCGCAAAAGATCATTTTCATCTATTTTTTTAATTAAAATTGTGAAATGAGGAATATACCCTTCTCTTTAAATAAAATAAAAGGAAAAGAAAAAATTAATTGCAACCATACTCTAAATTTTTTTTAAAAATGTGCAAATGAGTCTCAAATAAATTATTAAAAAAAGTAATTAGGCACTGTTTGTTTCCCATTTGTAGAAAAAAATTTGCCTTTAGATTCTTCAGCAGCCGAAATATTTGACCACATTGTGTGACAGTGGGGCCTAGTTTTTTGAAAAAAACGATCAAGTTATTCATTTTTCCCTTAAAATAATGTGAAACGAATAGGGGCTTAGTACATAATATCCATATCTTTCACCGTTATTGCGAAAAACGTTACTGCTTTTCATTTTTTGGTATTTTCTCCCTTAATTACACATTGATTGTGCAAACCATCATTTTCATCAATTTTCATCCAATTTTTCAATAAAGAAGTGTGAAATAATGAATATACCCTCATATTTAAATAAAAAAATATTTTTTAAAATTTCTAATTTTTTAATAATTTATTTGGAACTCGTCTATACTTTTTAATTTTTTTAAAATTTTTAAATAAATTTAATTATGACTCCTTTGCACTTTTTTTAAAAAATGATTTTTTTAATAATTTATTGGGGACTCGTTTCCACTTTTTTTAAAAAATTGAGACTATGATTGCAATTAATTCTTTAGTTTTTTTATTTAAATAAGTGGGTATATTCATTTCACAAATTTTTATTGAGGAATTGGATGAAAATGGATAGAAAATTGTTGTTTGAGCAATTAAATGTGTAATTAAAAGTAAAAATGCCAAAAAATAAAAAGGTATGAACGTTTTTTGCAATAATAGTGAAAGTTGCTATTTACTCTTTTAATAATTTATTTGGGACTCATTTGCGCTTTTCAAAACATTTTTGGGACTGTGATTGCAATTATTTTTTTCTTTTTCCTTTTGTTTTATTTAAAAAGAAGAGTATATTCGTCATTTCACAATATTTAATTGAGAAAATTGATGATAAGGACATTTTGCGCAATGAAAGGTGAAAATGCCTAAAAAATGAAAGGTAATGACGTTTTTCACAATAACAATATAAGGTGGAGACGTTACGTGCTAATTACCATCTCACAAAACAAAGGGATTAGCCCTATAATAATCAACGTCTCTTTTAGTTATGTCTAATCTAATATTTTATCAAGCTAGATGTATCAAAAATACCATCTTAACTTGCTTTTACATGATGATTATCATTGTATAATATTCGTTTCTTGTGAAAATGCCAAATTATTATAATTTGAAAAAGCAGATTTAGGATAATGAAAAACTATACTATTTTTAACTGCTTTGTATTAGTCTTGTCAACATTTTATCGGTTCAATGGATACACCGTACACGTAGCTGGACACATTTAATAATTGAGTTGTGACGGGACCCCATGAGTAAAGTCCAGCAAGCAATTAGTATTTTTTTTGGATGGGGATGGGTTGGGTTTGGGGGGTCCTTACCACATACCGGGGAAGTGGTAGGGCTACTACTTGATTTAATTGTTATTGATTTCTTTGTGTGTCTTCTCGAATATTTGGACCAAGTTGTTGTCCACCTTCGACGTGTCCATTTGAAGCAATTATGTGTAATATGCTTGTATGTATCATGAATGTTGATGGCTCCTAGTCTGGTTGATTGCTCGGGTTGGTTTGAAACCTCGCCCATGTGTATGCCAGTGAACTAAATCATGAGGATAGGCAAAGTGTAGTGTGTTGCATCATAAGATTGCAAGTGTACTTACTTTTATAGTCTCCTTGTGACAATTTTTGTTTTGATTGTGGTTAGTGGTCGTTGAAAAGAGACGTGGCCTTCTATCATTCGACAATTTTGGATGGAGTGGGGAAGGGTCACACTCTTAATTTTAGGGGCACGTGCGTTCATGGTGTAATCATTTATGTCTAAATGCTACTTTCGTTCCCACTTAATAGCACAAGACGAGATGGCTCTACTCATTTGGCACATGTGCCTCTATTTTATGAGCGATCCAAAGTCTCCATGACTTGACCTGGCTTCCTTGAATGGTTAGTGGTTGTGTTACATCGACCAAACTGCCTTGACTCAAGCCCAAGTTATTAAGGGTTATCAGACACCCCAATCATCTTAAATGTTGGAGAACACTTTTGTCCTAGCAAATGTCTGGAAGAAAGTGTCTCCCTGCCACTTGTACGTGGAAAACCCCCTGTACAAGTGGATTTATCCTCTTGCATGTATAAATGTCCATGGCCAATACAAATAGATAGATACTTTTCATTGATATACGTCTTTTTTCGTTAATGACCATGCTCTTCATTGATGAGCATGACTATACATTACTTGCACACTAGAGCATTGTTAGAATGCAAGAATATTGTACCGAATGGTTAAACGAATGTTCACATTGATTCCAATGCTTAAGTCAAATGAAAATAAATGAATAAAATTTTGTCTAATTTTAGATATTGCATACGTTTGGTTTATGCAAATTGAGAATATTTGCGTGAGATTTGAGACTGGAATATTTTTTTGATTTTTTTGACGCTTGTTGGTAGACAACTAACCTTAATTTATTTGTCTGTAATATATAGTATAGGCTAAGGATGTAAACGAGCCAGCCAAACCGGCTTGCGAGTCAAAGATCACGGCTTGGACAAAAAAAGCTTTGGTTTTTTTGCCTGAGTCGAGCCAAGCCAAAGCTCGATTGAAAAATCGAGGATTGGCCTTGTCGAGTGGACTCGAATTTTTTTAAAAAAACAAACGATAAACAACTGCTAGCACCTAAAACATCATGCTTGCAAGTAGACAGCTGCCTGCTTCAGGCGCTGCGTGACTACCTGCATGAAACGGGGCCAGTCAAACTTGTGACACGGGCAAAAAATGTCCGTGTCACGAGCTATCATTTTGACCTGCCAGCTCGAACTCAGACTCGAATAGTCATCTGTAAAAGAGGCTCAGCCCAAGCCTTGGTTCGGTTTGACAACTCTAGTTTAGGCGCCAGCTGCTAAAAGGCTTTATTTTCTTTCAAATTTTTCATTTTTTAAAAAGTTAAGTAACTAATTAAATGAAAATAATCACCGTTTAAAAAATTAGATCATGCTGAGAATCTTGTTTGTGACTCGAACTCTAGAAGGAAGTTACAGTCAACCAAGTCAAAGATGGTATCATACAAAGGGGTACTTTTCAAATTGCCCAAATCAGAGGTGCACTTTTCCACTTTACCCAATTTTTTTACCATTCACCACAATAGTTTTCCAAGGCTGAAAAAACGAAATTACCCTTAAA